GGGGACTGAAAAGGGGAATTGCTGCAGATCATTGTACAGGCATCAGAATAACATTTTCTGTGTAGCCCGTCCTGCATGAAAGTGCAATGTCCACACACAAAAATCAAATGTATTTCAAATGTAATGCTACACATAATCTTTACTCCTCATTGGTCTCCCTTTCCATGGGTGTATTTTAGCTGTTTAAGTAACCTCCTGCCTCAGCTGGCACATTTTTTTGTGCTCTTTAGCAGCTCATTGCATCAGAGGCAGCAGGTAAAGCATTTCAGCCTCTCATTCGGATGCTTTTTGATTGCTGAAGATTGCAAGTTCATTTTTTGCTAATCGAGTTGGCAATTACACAGGCACTGAAGGGAGACACGAGCCAAAACTCCTGGCCTGGCTTTGAGGAGGCAGGACTGAAACTCTTGAGAGTGTCCCTTATTTCTGGCCTAACAGGGCAGTGGATAATGACACCCCCTGGTCACATCAGACCCTGGGCTGGTCTGAGATAAGAACCTGAAATGAAACCCCCTCCCTCCCAAGGACAGGTGGGGAGTGGGAGTGGCTGGTGATAAACAGAATAGCAAAGCCCCTAAGACCCATTTCTCACATCCTTAGACAACTTTTACCGATATTTTAATGGTCTGATCTTCATAAAAAATAACTTTTTGCCCCTTTTTCTTTTCCTCAGTGACCAGCATTAGACCCACGCAGGACTCAAATGCCTTAAGAAGGTGAGCTTTCATAGAACACATGTATCTATTAGGTTTGGTAAGAATTTATGTATTTTTTTTCTGTAATTTTGGCTCAAGAGTGGCTGATTCATTGAAACTCAGTGTGGTTTAGTCCTGGGAGCCGTGGTGGAAAAGCTTGGAAAAAAGTTTGGAACAGCAGCCTGGAAAAGGCCAACCTTAAGCTGTGCTTCGATCCTCCAAAGCCTCTGCAACCCAAACCAGGGGAGAAAACAACTTATCCAAGAGATTTTGGTGAGAACTGGAGGTGACATGCTGTATTTCCACGTGCATATAATATCCTGGGTGCTGCTAAATTACTGATAATTGACTGCTGAGTTGGGGGGATTATTTACGACTTGGTCCTGTCAGAGTGACAAAAAGCAGCCTTGAGGTGCTGCTGGCTCTGCTCACCTCCCCACTTCCAATATATCCTCAAGGCTATTGCTCCTGTCTGCTGTCACAGACCTACCTCAGCATTTCCATCCCATTACCTTCAGCCAGGAGCATTCCCTTAATTCCTGCCTTGTTTAGTTCTAGACTATAAATAACCCCAACGGCTCCGAAAACTGAGTCTTGCCCTGGAGGCTCCTCCAGACCTGCAAATTTCATTGGTTTGACAACCTTTACAGACTAACATCTCATCTATAATAATCCTAATGCTGGTTGGAAGTCTGTAATTATGGCCCACTCTGAGCTGGGGCACAGCAGATGAGGAATAATGTGGAGCACTTCACTGGAGGAAGTGCACTGAGAGTGTTTGTCAGGCCATTTTCTCTGTATGATTCTTATTCTGCCTTCCTCTCTCCCCAATTCCCCAGCCAGTATGATGGGAAAATAAATACAGATATTTATGCCCATTTCTGGGAATGCAGTTCTCAGCACATACAGCACCCAGGAGGGCTGTAAGGAATAAATGAGTGATCTATGGTGGGGATGTGCCAGGCAGGATGCATGTCTGTTTGACTGCTCCTGAGGAGCTAAATATTTCAGATGAGGAGGGTTTATGGTGCTGTGAATGTCACTGATATGTCAAAGGGACAAGAAGCTTACTGAGCTTTCAGGGGTTTATTCTTCAGCCTCCTGCTGGGGAGACGTGTGGAGGTGCTGTGGGTCCTGCAGTCCCACAGTTTATTCTTCAGCCTCCCCACAAGTCAGGAACCCAAAATCAGGGCATGGAAATTCATGGAATAGCAAAATCAAAAGCAGGGTGGGCAGCAGGGGAGGGGGGGATTCTGCCCCTCTGCCCCCTCAGGTGAGAACCCCCCAGCAGAGCTGCCTCCAGCACTGGGGAACAGCACAGGGAGGACGTGGAGCTGCTGGAGAGAGTCCAGAGGAGGCACCAGGATGATCAGAGGGATGGAGCAGCTCTGCTGGGAGGAAGTTATGGGAGAATTGGGATTGTTCCCCCTGGAGAGGAGAAGCTTTGGGGTGACCTTACTGTGTCCTGAAGGAGCTACAAGAAAGATGGAGAGAGGCTATTTCCAAGGGCCTGGAGTGGCAGGACAAGGGGAAATGGCTTCACACTGACAGAGAGGAGGCTTAAGTGGGATATTCACTAAAAATCCTTCCCTGTGAGGGTGTGAGGTGCTGGCACAGGGTGCCCAGAGAAGCTGGGGCTGCCCCATCCCTGGAAGTGTCCAAGGTCAGGTTGGATGGGGCTTGGAGCAACCTGGGCTAGTGGAAGGTGTCCCTGCCCATGGCAGGGGTTGGAATGAGATGATCTTTAATGTACCTTCCAACCCAAACCATTCCATGATTCTATGAAACCTGAACTCAAAGGGACCCACAAGGATCAACTCCTGGCCCTGCACAGGACAACCCAAGAATCCCACCGTGCACCTGAGATCACTGCCCAAACACTCCTTGAATTCTCCCTCTCTGCTGATGTAAGAGGAGCAAGGCCAGTTTCCAGGAGCTGAGGATCTGATCCTGTAATTAGGCAACACTTCCCTGCTCCGACAGCTGCCGGTGTGGAGGCAACCCACTGATGTCATGGCTGGGATGTGCAAATGAGGACGAGCCTGTGTGTTGTGCTCATTAAAGGAGGCACTAGAACTCTCATGTGGCCACCATCTGCCACCTTGTTTGGTGGGTTTTGATCATGACTCAGTGAATGGCTCCACAGAAAGTCCGTGATTAATCTCCGGGATGCGATTCCCTTCCTGGCGATGAAGGGTGGCAGAATTTAGCTGCTTACAATCAAACTGGGTGAATGTGCAAAATTCTCTTCAAAAGGCATCGGGATTCGGAGAAGCAGCTCGGTACAAAAATGGGGAAATGAGCTGGGGCTCTTTGTGCTGCCTATTTACAAACACCAGCCCCTGATAAAAGCTGGGAATATCTCCTGTAGATGAGCGGTGACTAAAACAGCCCTCGTGGTGGTGCCTAAAGGGCTGGTGGAAGGCACACCAAGTCTGAAGGCAGTTTTAAGGGGTGGCACTGGTTTCACAAGCTGTTAGGAGGCTTTTCTTTCTAGATGGTAGAAGGAATATTCCATTGACAGGTGTTTTGAAGTATTTCCCGTACGCTGACTCGGCTCAATTTGTCTATAATGAGTAAAATAAAATTTAGGGATCATTTAAGGGTTATTAATGGCCCTGATTTATTAATTATGCAGCAAACTTTAATTTTCTCTTCCTAAAAAAGCCAGTTCAATTAGAGCCCTTGGAGTTCTTAATTGTGTGTTGGAATAGTTTTTCAAATAACAAAGCATTAAGTCTCGTTACGGGTCCATTTCACTTTTTATGGAGATAATTTGACCATAACTGGTACTGACAGGGAATTTAAATAGTCTAAAACCAGCCTGGCAACAAACATAGAATCATAATGTGTGCAGCCTACGGCCCATGAAATTGTCCTCCAGTCAGGGAGGCTGCACAGGATGTCACAGAGAATGGGAAATATATACAGTTGTTTTTCCTGGCCATCCTTCAAATCTGCATCATAGGTCTATGTAACAATTTGAAAATATGCAGATTTATTTACTATATTCAAAGAAATCTGTCCACAGGGCTATTGATTTATATATCCCCCTCTCCCCATCTCTATTCACTTTCACCAGTGACTTTCAATCCTATAAAGAAAACTGTTTACACAGAGATTTACTTTGCAGCACCGTAGCCATGAATAGAAAATAAAGTTCTGAAACAAGAGGGTTTTTTCAGTGCTGTAACTCTTGCATTCCTCACTGCACAGGGAAATGAATCCATCCAGTGCTTGTAATATGTATTTCCTGTGGATGGAATTTATTTGCAGGGTTGTGCTACTCAGTGTTTGAGAAGTGGCTGGAACGATGAGGTCGTGCACAACAGAGGCAGCTTCAGTGTGGAGTTTTTCAGCCCACTTTGATTTTTAGGAGGAATGTGGAGTAAACTGTGCTCCCCATGGAAGCTTTGCAATCCCTGGGAGGTGGCTGATGGCAGGGTGGGATGCTCAGGCTGGAGCTGGATCCCCGTGATCAGGAGACTCAGGATCTCCCAGTAAGCGGGGCAAGTGAAAGCATGGAAAATCCAGGCAGAGTGCAAGGAAATCAGCCCACTTTATTTCCTGTTCCCTGATAGGACAAGTGCAAAGGAATCAGGTTTTACTTGTGCCTTTAATTTTTGGTGTGGTTTGGTTTGGGTTTGGTTTTAGCAAAGGGAAAAATGGAGCAAAGCTTCAAACTCCAGGTCTGAGCTATTGAGGGAAGCCCACGGAGCCCTCTGAGTGTCCAGCCAGGCAGCTCAAGGAAAATGATCTCCCACCCCCATGAGGAGGGGAAGGAGATCAATCCTCCAGGTCCAGGATTACAAGTGATGATCCAGAGGAAGCTTCCAGACTTCTCTCTGTGTCCAGACACCTGAAGTTGTTTTCCTGAGAATGTTCTTTTTGGAGTGCTGGCTCCCAGCCCCTTCTCCCTGCAGCTGTCCCAGCCTTTCTGTGCAATATCTTAGGAACAACTTTTCCCTCTTTTAGCCAGCAGAAATATGAAATATAAATAAAAAGCAGCTGTGGGTATGGGAGTTATTCTGACTTCTAAAAACAACACTTTTAAGAAGTGCTCTGGTTGAAATAAATATTATCACTCTACAGATGTCTCAGGGGAAGATGTGCTTTCTTCCTCTCTTTTTTTCTTCCAGGAAAAGGATGACAACTGATGTATTTATATATGGGAGAGTCTGCCCATTTTATTTGAAGACTGCAAGAAATTATTCAAGCTTCAAGCAACCCTTTGCTTCGTATTTTTAGGAAGAAAAATCAGCAAATTGAAAATCTTCTTGCCTTTCACAGGAAGGACATTGCAAAAAAACAAGGAAGAAAAAAGGCTGATGAGGATGAAGACGTGAAGAAAAGAGACTTGTTTTCTTGAGGAAGAACCTCTTAATTTTGGAGATAAACAGTTATTTTACTTCTAAGCAACTTATGCAAGGTGGGTTTATGCAGTGTTGGACCTTTACCTATGTCAAAATTGGATAAAGAGCCAAGAAAAGAGGATATTTCAGACCAAATTTTTTTTGGAGGCTGGTGGAAGACAAGCTGTTATGTTTTATTTTAACGTTGAAATTGCCTCCAATTTGAGCCATTTGACTTTTAAACTAAGAGAAATTGAATTTTAAGTAGATTCAGGGGCTTTCTTTCTCAAGCTTGCTCTCTTCGTCCTTCAGTTAGGAACTGAACCATCATGTGGTGGGCAAAGAGGAGATGGAATTTCCCAGCAATATCATCTGCATCATCAAAATGAGGTAAGATTGAATTGTATGGCACGTGGGGTTAATTCTGTGTGGGATAGAGTATTTGTGAGAGACTGAGCAGCAGATAAAAAGAACACACTGAAACCCATTTTTAATATACTTTAAACCTCGAATCCAATTTCAGAGAATTTCCCCCCAGATTTCGCTCTGTAAAGGTTAGAAATCACATCTGCATTGGGCCCAGGTTTCATTATTGTGATAGGAAAAGAGAAAATGGCTAAACAGGTGCATTTTTTTCCAAGGAATTGCCATTTTTTTCCCCTCTTCCCAACCATGGCAGCCAGCATGGAGAGCTGTGAGCCCCTTCTCCCACATCCCAGCCCAAGGGGGGCCCTGGCAGAGTCCTTCTCTGAGTTTTAGAGGAAATGTTTTAAAAAGAGAAATAGATGAAGTTGTTCCGCTTTTGGTACTTTTTTTTTTTACAAGCACGTGGAAAGGAAACTGCCTTTTGGGTGTTCTTGTAAATATTTTACTAGAAAGTGGCCTCGTGAGGGATTCTCTCCTTTGTTAGAGCCAGATTGCTCAGAATCAGTGCTTTTAGTGAAAATTGTTTTGGGGTCACATCAACATGTCCCAGTTTCCAGTTCTGCAGTGATGGGGAGGTATTTCTTAGAGTGTGTTCTTCTTTGGAATCATTTATGGTAATGCAGAAACTTCTCCACCAGTTACTAATTTTTACATAATTAAAATTTCATTTAAAAAAAAAAAAAAAAAATTATTGGAAGCCTTGTTATGTAAGTTGAATTTCTGGCCTCACTTGCTAAACATCTTGTATTTGTATGATTAGGTCGTGTCACATATGATTTGTAAATGGCATTTACCTGATCTGAGGCCTTCCAAAAATCATGAAGAAATAGGGTTGGAGCATCCTAGTCTAGTGGAAATTAAACACTATTAATTATCTTCAAGAGGCTGGCCCAGTTTCCCAGCACTTACTGTACTACCTGTGTTCATCTCATTTGGGGAGAATCCCACCACAGCAGGCAGGTTTGGCTTTATAACTGAAGTGGAACTGGGTTTAGGAAAGAAAGGGAACTCTTTATTTCCTCTAAAAGATAGTAAGGAGAAAAAAAAAATAAAGAAAACAACCAATCCAACATGTTTTTACCCTGTACTGAACACTTTTTGTCTGTATTATCTGCCTGGTAGAGCAATGTTATAAAGATTGGATGAGAAAAGATAACTCATAGAGGCACAATTCCATTTGGTTTCTCAGTAAACCTGGGTTTGTAAGGTGTGTTTAGGTCACTGAATGTTGGAGCCCTGGAGGAGACCGAGGGCATGAGTGAGTTTGACTTTGTGCTTCTCCCTGAGAAATACTTTTGGGAAAGGACAGTGGAGTGGTGCTGGGAAAATCTGGGTCCTCCTGGGCTGCTGGAAGATAAGGAGCCCTTCATTATATTCTCATTACTCCAGCTCTCAGCACAGAAAGGCAAAAAAAAAAAAAAATAAAGGTCACTAGCTTTTACCATCTGTGCTAAAATGAGTCGAAGGTAATAGAGAACTCCAAGATTTATTGCTTAGCCGCTGATTTGAGGCTTCATGGAAGTGGTAGGACTTTTAATCCGACCTCACCAACTCCTTACTTTGTAAAGGCGTCTTCCAGATCCCCCTGAATCGGATGGAAACATCAGAGCTTCTTTCAGCAGCCACTGGCTCAGGCTTTATAGGTTAACTGAAAAAATATGAGTCTGGAATACTGACTTGTGGATGTGTGAAGCTCCTCCTTTCCCTGTCCAACACCGAGCGTGCGAGTGTCCTGGTGCTGAACTGCTCATTAAATAGAACATTTCTGATGAAACAGAACAAAGTTGGGAATGTTTTTTTCAAGCAAACACGGTGCTAAAAAGGGAGCTGGAAGAATGCAATGACTTCTGTAGCCTGTCTGCACCAAGCACGACATTCTGCTTTCTCTGTTCCCACTGAACAAGCAAAGTCCCAAGAATTTATCAGCAGTATCAGCCTCATTAAAACAGGTATTTGTCATCTGGGTGTTATCTTTGTTCAGAGACACCTTTTCACTGTTCCACTCAAGCTGGCACTTGGCAAGGTCTGTCCAGCTGCTTAATCTGACTCATTAAAGCAGCTGACTCGTGCATTCATTAGTGTCTTTGCATCCTGATGAGGCTTTCTGATGGCTTTGCAGTTTTCTTTGCAGCTCCCGCTCCTCAGAAATCCTCCTCTCCAAAACCTGGCAGTAACACCCTGAGGATGGGGGGAAGGATGTGTGGCACACACAGCCCTGCACGTGGAGCATTCAGGTGGGTTACAGATGATTACAGATGTTGCTATCAGCTCTTTGGAGGTCAGAATTTGGAGCTTTGCCCTGGGACACGTTCGCTTTGGGTGAGATGGATCTCAAAAGGGCAAGGAAAGAAATGAGGTGAAAGGACCTGATTGTGTTGGACACTGCAGCTGAGTCAGCAAGGCCAAATGTGCAATCTTTGAATTAAATGCTTTGCAGCTGATTTAATCATCATATGAGCTTTCAAGCTTTTTTTAAGCAGGTGCCTGTTTTCGTCTGGCCAAGGGATGTTATTGCTCAGTGAGGGTTTCATCAGCAGCATCTCCCTCTCTTTCCACGTCTCTCTGCTTTTCTGTGGGAGGCCAGGTGTAAATACTGGGGGATTTCAATAAACACAATTCCAGACTTTCAGAATTTCCTCACTATTTTAGCTTTAACTCCCCAAAACTCACCCTCATCAAGCAAAATAAAAATAAGTCGTGCACTTCCATGTTACTGTGAATTGCTCAAAATGAGATAAATGAGGGATGAAGCCACTCAAACCATGGGGACAGTGCAATCTGAGAAGCCAAACTTGCATGAAGGGTGAATGTGTGTGAACATCCCCATTTCCAAACTAAATAAGCAGTGTTTTGGTTCTAAAGGCACTTGAGCTCCCAGTGACCACCACATGGGGAGGAAAGAGCTGGATTGTTCCTTCAAATAAATCCCTGTCACGTCAGTCCGGGTTTTATTTGAATGTTTTGTGGTCACAATCCTGCCCCCAGCCCGCTGATTATTGAGGTTTTTCTGCACTGGCTGTGCCACAGACATGGGCACTGTGAGCTGATTTGCTGTCTGAGGCTTTGAATCATCACTCATTAAAGCCACTCTGCTGCCTCTTGGATCAGGGCAGCAGTAAAACCGTATCAGATCCTTTTTTGCTGCTAAATTTAACAATTCCCAGTCAAAACTTCTCTTATTTAAGTGTGTGTTTAAATCGCTTTCTCGTATCCGAAATTAAGTCTTAAGCCCTGGTAACATATTAATTTATTTATTTTTTTAATTTAATGTACCTTTTAATTAACTGAACCAGAGAGCCAGTTTACATCTGGAAAATTCAAATCCTTTAAATCACTGCGAGTTTCATCTTAAACTCACAGGAATCCGTAGATAAATCCTGCGACTTTCCCAAGAGCCACATGCCTGCAATTATAGCTGCAAGGTGAGATCCCAGAGTTGGGACAAAAGGTTATTTTGATTTTTTTTTAATTTTTTTTTGCTGGCTGCTTTCCCCCTCTGCACACAGGGCAGTGACGAGCAGGGCTCGGTGAGTGTTGCGTGGCTTTGATTCGATTTTATTGTTCTCTGCTGTGATAACAACCACTTGGGAATCAAATCAAATTCTGTCTTTGCCTGCTGGATTCATGGCTTGTTAAATGCACTTTCTGCTTAAATGGCTGTAGCAATTTTGATCCGTGCAGCTCAGCCACGTCCTGTGAAAACATCCCAGTGGATGGAATTCAGCGGGAGTTTATTCCTCAGGCCTCTTTCCCAAAGAAAGGAGTGCAGCCTTCCTGCCCACGCTGCTCCAGAGAGATGCTGTCAGGTGTCATAGTAACAGCCCAGTGAATGTCAATTAATTTTTATCCATGGACTAGTCTGACTTTAGCAAGAGGGGTTTGTGCACATGAGAAGGAAGAATCTTGCCCTGGACAGGAGGAATCCCTGAAGCTCAGCTGTATCCATGTAAATAAAAGGCTGCAGGCTAGACCTGCTCAGCCATGCAGGAGTTCACTGAACAGTTTTAATGCTCTTCTTTCAGTAGAGGGTAATTTGATTATTTTTTTCAGTCCTTAATGGCAGGATAGATGATGTAATAAATTAAAACCCAGTCCAGTCTCCCCAGCAGAGGAGGGGATTAACTTTACCCTGTGTAAAAGTTGTACCTGACACTGGGAGGGTTTTGGAAGCAGCAGCACAGGCAGGGAGGCCTCTCCCTTTGGATGTTTCAGGATCTCCAGCTGATTCTTAGTGCAAAGGTTTAAGTGGGGAAGAAAAATATCCTCACCAGCTACAAAAGCACCATCAAGGTACATTCCCAGGGATTTCTCCCCTGAGATGGACGGGGTTTGCTTTTGGTGCCCAAAAAGCTGCTGGCTCTGGCTGAGGATTTCCCAGGAATGGGGTCATCCCCAAAGAAGGGCTTTTTCTCCTCCATCCAGTCCATCTGCTCTCCTGTTCTGTAGGAATTGTGTTCCCTGGGATCTTAACTCATCCATGTTTAATGGTGAACATGGTGGTGGTTTTAGGTTGATTGCATGATCTTGAAGGTCTTTTCCAGCCTCAGTGATTCCATGATTCTGTCCCCTCAGATTTGCCAGACCTGGCCCAAGGTGAGGCAGAGAGGGGACAGCGTGGTCCTCAGGACTGAACAAGCCTAACTGGGAGAAAAGTTTCCAAAAATCTAAGCCTTTCAGCAGAACTGGAAGCAGAAAATCCGGTGTTATTCTTGGAGAAGGACAGTGCTTGATGTCTGCCCCTCTTATTTTTTTTTCTCCTCTTCCCACAGCCTAATTTTCACAGTGCACCTCACCAAATGCCTCCCTGGTTTTGATGTAGAATTCACTCCTGTTTTGTAGCCTTGAAAGCTGCATTTGATGAGAAGTTCCCGTTCCCCAAAGAAATTCACGATCCTGAACAAAAAAGCGAAGCAACTCTGAGCGAGGGAAGGCAAGATAAAAAGAAACAAGCAGCAGGCAAAGCTGGGAGAAAAATAAACCTCCTGGTGCAGAGGAAGGTGTGTATAAAGAATGCCTGAGCCAGGGAAACTGCCTTTGCTGGGTGCCATCAGTTTTCCCACTGTTGCTCCCTCTTTTCTCAGGGGGAAACATTTTCAGCCTTTCCTTGGGATCTCACTGGTCTGAACGAGGATCCCTGAGCTTGTCCTGGGCTTTTCATCAAAGGAACTGCCATCAGTGAGGTCACTTTTAGAGGTTTTTTGTTTGGTTTGGATCATTTCTCTGCCTGCTGAGGTTTCCAGGCATTTGGATGTTCTTGGGGTGTTTTAATACTGAGAGTGGTCAAATCCTCATCTGATTGACACCAAAGAGTTGGAGTCAAGTGATTTGTCAATTATTTACCCTCTTCCAACTTTAAGGTTTTCTGTGAGTTTCCTCTTCTAACCCTAACAAAGAAATGCAGGTGTGAGCCCTGAGAAGAAGGGATTTTCTTCCTACACATGTTCTGTCCCCAGGGTTTGATACTCATTAATTCAGATTAAGGAAGTGCTGACCCCCACCTTGATCTCCCACTTGTACCAGTGCTTGTACCTCCCTTTGTATCATGAAGCCATATGCAAATGGCAATTAGCAGCTGAGCTGGGTGCTTGATTGGATTAGGTGGTGTCAAAACATTAATCATGGCAATCACAGCTCTTCTGCTCCTGGACTTAAAAAAAAAAAAAAAAAGGAAAAAATATATTGTATGTCCTTGGATATAAAAAAAATGCCAATATTCTGGCACTGTTTTGCTCTAATTTCTTTTTTTTTTCTGTTTTGAATCTGAAGGGCAAGAAATCTCTGTAGACAACCTCATTTCCTATATTTTCCAGCTTAATACCTGTTGTGGATAAATTTGGGGAGGGTAATTGGTGATTCAGGTGCTTGGCTAAACTGACAGAATGTTTTAAGAGGTACTTTCTCTAAAAACTCCAGCTCTAATTCTTTCTCCTCTGGGAACTTTGCTTTTCATTAAGGAGCAAGGGCAGAACTGGAGGAAGAAAACAAGGAGCTGATTTCCAACCTCAGATGCAGCTTTTGCTCAGGAAATGCTGCTCTCTGCAGTACATTGGGGAGTGTTTGTCTTCTCATTTCTACTGGAAAATATTTTGTCACTAGAAAATGGGCTTTATTCAAACCAATTTCCATATCTCACTGACATAATGTTACTATATTGGCTCATCCTCAAGTCTAAGTCAATCTGCAAAATATCCTGTTGTGGAATAATTTGCATGTGTAATTTTCCAGAGCAAATCCTGCAAAGATTTGACTCACAGTGAATTCAGTAGGACTGTTCAGGTTCACATGTGCTTTTCAAATTAAATCTGAAGTGCACAGTTGTTTACAGGGCCAAAACCTGGGGTTTTTTTGACAGCATCACGGAAAGCTCAAAGTAAACAAAATCTCCTCCTACAAGAACACAGTTGCAGGGTAACAGGATAATGGGTAATATCAAATATGTATTGATTAATTCAGAGCCATTTCAGCACTTAGGGCCATGGATATGAGTCCCAGAATCGTGGAATGGTTTTGGGTTGGAAGGGGCCTTAAGAGATCATCCAGTTCCACCTCCTGCCAAGGTCAGGGACACCTCCCACGAGACCAGGCTGCTCCAAGCCCCATCCAACCTGGCCTTGGACACTTCCAGAAATGGGGAGTCAGTGGTTTAACATAAATAAAGCAACCTTAAGTAATTAAGCCAAAGAATTGAAGAATAGAGCTTTAATTTTTTATTTCTTTTCCCAGAACTGTTGCTCCCCTCTCCTGTGACTGTTCTCTCTGATAATTTTTTTGCAGCTCTCCTGTATTTTTGCCTTAATGACTTTAGGACCTCAATTACACGCATTCCTACATGCTTGATGCTTTCTAAGTGGTGAAAAATTATCCTTGCTCTGAGAAGCTCTGAGTTAGAGAATTCAAATAATCCAGCAGCACAGCCGAATGAAACAAGCAGCTCTCACCCTGGGTGTGTGGGCAGGTCTGGAGATGGCGTGGCAAAGATCACCAGAGGGTGGGAGCAGAGAGGTTTTGGGGAGGGTCAGAGTGGGTGAAGGGGCAGAGATGGTTGTTCTAGAGGGTGACAGAAAGATGGATCTGCTGGTGCCACAGGAGCTGAGGGACTTTCCCTTTTGACTGCCCGGTGCTTGCACGGAACATTTTCTTCTTCATATCACTTAGACTTAATTTCAAACCTGAGGAGTTTCAAGCAGAGGGCAATTTTTAAAAAT